GGTGCACACCCCAGGCTTCTCCACGCAATCTATTCGCAGCTGGAATCACTTTGAATACATTTCGTACAATATCTCGGTGAGAGGGCTCATACTAGCAAACATGACGCCCCGTTGCATACCCCCTCCCAGATATCCTCCTACGCGATAAGCTTTGTTATCAACAGGTCTGCAGTAACTGGTTTGGCTAAAGATGATCTTTTCAGGAGAAGCACCAAAAAACGATTACGGAAACGTAGCGCTAGCGCTACACACCTTGACGTGGTCACGCCAAAGGAACTCACCCACTCACCTGTAAGTATTCGAGCTCAATCTCTTCGTACCAACAAGAAGCAGTCTCCGTCACCTAACACTCTTTCACCTGAACTGGCCATGCTGATATGAGACTTTGTCAAGTGTAATATTTATGTACTTGTTTGTATAAAGATGACAACTTCTACAAAGTTTTTTTTCTTGAAAAGGTCACGGCAATCCGCAATAATTGGCTTAGATCTGGTAAAAATTCGTTAAAGGCATAAAGCATGATAATTTGATGCCTGCACAAAAAAAGTTGCAGAGGCTATGCTGCGGAAAAATGACAAAAAAGCGAAGCTAAATGGCCAATAATCTGCAGAACGACCTTTCTTCTACGGCGTTGGACGAGCATTTTTGGGCGAGTTTCCCGTTGGTATCGTGCCAGTAACCGCTTTGATGGACATGGTTGCACGTATGTATTCCTATAGCCATGTAGCAACGCTTTATATCAATTGTACTTCATAGAGGAAGCGACAAGTGTACCAGCGTCAATGTGACTGCCCGGCCAATTGTGGGCGGGCCGTTGCTGTAGGCGTTTGGGTCGGCTGGGGACCTTGTTTAGGCGCTATAACTGTGCCCTCGGTTGGAAAAGGCGCCATGCAGCGCCTGCTGAGGGCACAATATTCTTTCGTGCTAGGCGTATCAACCCTGTACATCATGTCGATTTATCGTGCTACTTGCCTTTAGGGCAGGGCGTACTTAAAGGCAGCGCCCACGTTCATTTGATGTTCCCGCGCCCTCTCTGGATATCATAGCCCTCCCTATGAGGATGCAGTATGTACTAGTTTTGCATCTCAAAAAGGCGAGAGGATAGCGCTAGTGAAGAGTCGGCCGCTCCGCCCACCTGGCCAGCATAGGGTTCTACATAGGGCATTTTCCATGATTTTTTCTGCTTTTTTTTCACTACTGGATCTTAACGTTATTATATGAGCTCCATAACTCATATTCGCTTGAAAATGCGGCTCAGGCCTAGAGGCTAAGCTAAAGCATTTAATGCAGCCAGGTGGCGGGGCGCCATCCTCCTCAGTATTTTGAGCTGCGAAATATAGTACAGTGGTTCCCCATCCTTGTCAACGCAAAGCGACGATAGTCGTACGAGATGGACATAGGGAACATATTATAACCCGGAACACGGGCCGGCTGCTTAACAAAGACCTAACAGGGTAGGGTAACAGCGCGCAAGTTTTAGCGTATTATACTTGAGAATCCCTGAGATGGGGTAGGCGTGGCTTGCATTCTTCAAGTTATCCGAAGAGCTAGGTTTCTCGGAAGATATTTTCTTTTGACACAGCTGTTAAGTGGAGTCCCCTGGTCCAACACAGAACAAGATGACAGCTGCCAGACGGAATATTCGCATTCTGTAACTATATATTCCGTGCCACGTTCAAATGCCACTCTGGCTCAGGGATAAGGAGTGTAAATAGTCCTTGTTAGTTGACTGGGCATACTGTAGCTTGTCTGCACCCTTTCCGGTTGAAGTCGATCTCTTCTTGTGATCGAGGCCTCAGCAAGGGCAAGAACAAACAACCAAAGGGGCCGCTACCCGCTTTCGCCTTCGTTCCCTTGTGCCCCAACACAGCTAATCAGTGCCGCTGTGAAGCAAGTAACTCCTGGTGCGAGTGTCGCGTACGCGGGCGCCGCACTGCCGAGGGCCTTTTGAACCACATTACCATGACGCAGCTTTGGGATATCCTTATGCTGAAAAGTTGCCGCGTTTCTCTCACATAACAACCGACATAGGCGGTTATTTTTTTGCCCACAGACACCCACAGCTAAAGGGAGCGTGGCTGTAATATGTGGGAGCTGTTTTCCGCGGTCGCGAAGCACCAAGAATGTCACCAGAGAGCATACTTTCTATGACTGAATCGTTCAAGTGACATGTGCTCTCCACTGGCTTGAGCCCTTACAATTAGTGCTCAGGGTTATGGTGACAGGGTCTACGTTGCAGCGACGCACAGAAGCTAGCGCAGCTGTCTAGGGAACAACGCAGTGACACCAATAACCATGCTCTTGCAAGTGCCTATTCATCGTTCTGCTGCTAACTAGGAATGATTCGAGGCCTCCGCAACTACTGAAGCCACCCTAATGCATGGCGCATCCTAAACCGATTGATAATCGACCACCTTTCTACCAATTATCCCCGCATTATTTTGTGTTTGCTGAATTGCGATAGCGCTTAAAATACGAGCCACGAGTTTAGCAAAAAACGAGTTCTGCTGCGAGAACGAGTAGGTAGTCAACAAATAGTGAAAAGACTGGGTGTTGATTGATATCCAACGCATATGTTACTGAAAACAACAGTACGATGGGCAGTACGCTCTATAAAATGGCGGCAAGTTTGGCAGACAGTCGACGGGACACGTTTTGTTTTCATAGGCTGTTACAGGTAACGGTGTAAATAAGAGTGGTGTCATTTCCGTTCTACGCTTGCATTTCTATGGCATACATATTTTTTCGCTCTAGACTATGTATAGTGCCGTTTGGTCAGGGGGGGGGGGGCAGAAACGAGATCGCCCTTGTACGGCCAATAAAGCCTTCTATCCTTCGAGAGCAGGTAAATCGGTACCATCTTCTTTAAGAGAATAAAACAATGACCCCCTCCCCTAGCTGATTGTTTGGGCCATAATGCGTTCAGTATTCAAGTACGATACTGAACACACGTAGAATGCCTGGCGTATCTCAAAAATCAATTGATCTGCTAGGTGAGCATCACCTCCTATTCTTCCATATGCTTTTGTTGAACTTGCAAGGAATTATGCAGCAAATCGCAGTTTTCCATCATCGATAAAAGTGTTTTAAGAGGTGCCCGGTGGATACCACCAACTCTCGAAGTCTTGAAATTGGAAAGTCTCCGCCGTGCGTCAATCCCCTTTTAGGATGCGACTTGTATTCTACTTCCATTCAGAACCGTAGGGCTTATTGAAGTGCGATGTGGCCTATACAATGACTTGCGGGAGGGGAGAGGGGGGATACGCAGATAATG